GCCAGGTGGGTGCTGCAGTGCCTGCTGTGGGGGCCGCGGCGGGAGCTGGTGGAGCAGCGGGGCACCTCGGAGGAGGCGCTGAGCAGCGCGCTGCACAATTGGATCGACATGAAGCGCGCCCTGATGATGCTGAAGTTCGCCGAGAAGGCCGTGGACCGCAGGCGTGGGGTGGAGCTGGAGGACTGGCTCTGCTGCCAGTACCTGGCGTCCGCGGAGCCCAGCGCCCTCTTACAGTCGCTCAAGCTCCTGCAGCTTCTGTGAGCACAGCCCCAGCCTGCACTTTAGCTGCCCTTTTCTGTGGCTACCCCCTTCGCTTCCAGCCCCTTCCTGGTGTCCGTCCTGACCCCCGTGCCCTGCCTGCCTCAGAAAACTTCGTGTCTCCCTGGGAAATGGTACAGTGACTGTCCTACTTGGATGTAATATATATAAAGTGTATAAATGTAAAAGGCTGAGGCTGTTGTTGCCGCCTGGGCCGCCTCTGCTCCCCGGGGGCTCCTGGTTTCTCTGCTGTGATGCACACTGTAGCTCAGTCCAGGTCCTGGGGACAGTACAGTGCTGCCAGCAGAACAAAGCCTGGACTCTGGCCTCACTGCCCCATCGTGGGAGCTCTTCACCTTCCTGTCCAATTGTTATTTAAAAAAAATGTATTAAAAATTTTTTGATTGAGTCACGAGCAAAGCTCTTTTATCCCCAAATGTCCAAGTGCATTACTGCCTTTGGTGGGTAGAACTGAATACGAGCCCCTGAAGCAGTGGCTGGGCCCCCTGGAGTGGCCTCGGTCTTACCCTTCTCATGATAGAGCAGCAGGCCGACCCCGGGCTTGGCGGGGCCAATCTTCCCCGCTTCTCCCCGCTGGCCGTCTCAGAGGGATCTAGACGCGGCTGGTGTGGTCCCACAGATTGGGGATTCAGTCTCACTGCTCCAAACCATTTCCACTTGGCTAACGCTGGTTATCATTTGTATCTGTGAGAGGCCTGGCTGAAAATAGAATCCACTCCAGATAGTTCCAATGTAAGAACCTTAGAAAGGTGTGGGCAAGGTTAAGGGAAGAGACAATGATGAGGCAAAGGCTGGCATGGGAGAACCACCTACTCACTCTGTTGCCACCTGTCATCTCCAGGCCAAGACCAACGGGACAGCAGACAGCCAGGTGGCTTGGGTGATGCCCTGGGCAGGATCACCTCCCCGCACAGGGAAAGGGGATGAACGATTGGGGTGGCAGTGGGCACACTGCTCACTGTTCTTACTGAACTAGATCATGGAAAGGCAGCAACAGAACTCAGGCTCACACTCCCAGACCAGCGCTCTGCTGTTCTAAGCTCCTTCCGGTTTCCATTTTTAAAAACTCATGCGCTTAACCCTTATTGGCACCTGCTATCTATTATAGTCAGTGTGTTACCATGCCTTTAAAATGCACAGAGCTAGGGAGCACCAGGGCTTTCCTCTTCAAAGTGACACGAGATCAACCATTACTCATTTGAAGGAAAACAGCCCCAAGGCCCACGTATTCTTATTGAAAGGATAATCTTCCAATTTCCCAACTGATTTCTAAAACCGTGTTGATAATTATGGACAATTTGAAACAAAGGCAAAGATTTTTTTTTAATATATTTTATTGATTTTTCACAGAGAGGAAAGGAGAGGGATAGAGAGTTAGAAACATCGATGAGAGAGAAACATCAATCAGCTGCCTCCTGCACACCTCCTATTAGAGATGTGCCCGCAACCAAGGTACATGCCCTTGGCCAGAATCGAACCTGGGACCTTTCAGTCCGCAGGCCGATGCTCTATCCACTGAGCCAAACCGGTTAGGGCCAAAGACAAAGATTTTAATGGATGTCCTAGAAATCTGAAGATGTGGCTAGCAAGCAGGGTGGGGAAATCTGCCAGATCCCCGTCTGCATGTTAATGTCAGTGCTTTTGCAAGCTCCGCCTTCCTGCCTGGGACTGTAGGGAAACATCCACATTTCCGTGCATCTGGGTGAAGACGGCACCTGTGGTCACATTTCTTATTTCAATTGTTACTTGAGCATTCAGGAAAGAACTGGCTGAAACCCACTTCCAACTATGTTTTTGTACAAGAGAAAAGAGTCTTTGAACAATGGAATTGTAATTCTCCACAGGACCTAAGTTTCAGAGGGCATAATTTTGTCAGTTGTTAGTTCCTGAGAATTTCCCAAGCAAACCCTCCACTTTGGATTTGCTGCCCTGCTCTCTTGTCCTTTCTCACTTGGGGGAAATAAACAATGGAGAAGGAGGAGACAAATATTCCACCAGGGGAGTGCAGTGCCATTTGGAAACACATGTCTCAAAGGCACATTTTAAATCTCTGAATTAATTGCACTTTTTTATATGCCACCCACTTCATGGGGAACGGGAGGAGAGATTGTAAAAAAGTTTTTAAGAACCAAAATGAACCAAAAAGTAAAAATGGGGGGGTGGGGAGGGGGGAGAAACTAAGCAATAAATTCTGATTGAAAAGAATGATAGCCCTCAAACAAAACGTCCTTCTGAGCTTTCCACCAAGAAAGGAAAAGTAGAAGACAGCTGAGGGCACAATTCTGTGTGTCATTTTAGGAAACAGTTCAGTTCGTCAGGAGGAAGAAACTCATTCCCAGTGCTTGGTTCTGAAGTGGATTTGTCAAGGACTTCCATGTTTACAGACATTTTTCTAGATGGGGCAATTTCTTATACCCATCACCGGTGAAATCCAAATGGGTAGCATTCGAGCCAGTTCCATCGAGGAGGTTCTCTAGGGTAGAAACCATTCATCTCCATGGGTTGGCTTTTCCCATCAATGGTAAGCCATGTGGGTCATGTGGCTACAAATACTAGGTTTGGCAGACAGCTCCAGTCACACTAAATTCAGGGGCTCAATATAACTTCTTTTGTAACTTCAAAATACACCTGGGATGCATGGCTTCATCTCACAGAAAGCTCAGCACCAACTAGATTAAGTCCAGAAACAACAGCGTATTCCACAGGACTGAGGTTCTGCAGTAAGCGTATTAAATAACCAGATGTTATGATGACAGTCTCATAACATCTGGTTATTTAATACTCCTGGTATCTGTGAGTTCATCTTTTTTCTTGGCTTTAGATCCAACTACTGGTATTGAAATCTTGTGGTTCTTTTTTTCTCTCTCCTGCTCTGAGTCAAGTCGCCCCCATATCCTCTTCACATTTGTAATTTCTGTTGTTAGCGTGCCTTTCCCTGTTTCATGCCAAGATGTGGATTCTTTTTTTCTTCTAAATTCTTTCCTGGAGGCGTTATGAAGCTGTACATCTGAATTGTTATGTCCTTGCCAGAAGCAAAGATAAGCACTTCAGAGATTATTTATTTATCATAACCCATGGCTCAGATCTGAAAAGATGGGGCTCTGGGGAGCTGTAGTTCTTCCTGATTTTCAAGAACTTAGGGTTGAATACACTCTTTTGTGATGTCCACATATCCACCAAACAATTAGGAGAGTTTTGAAGAGGAAAGACACATGTTACTTGAATAACTTCTCCAAAATTTGTTCTTTAAATATATAGCCAATAAATGAGGCAGCCCTTCCCCACTCTGTTGAATAGCTATAAATCCTTGAAGATCTAAAGATAAACTTATTAAATAACTCTTATTAAAAGCTAGTAGCTTTGTAATGTAAAAATCTGCTTGACATATTTAATAAAGAGTGATGTGAATGGAATTGATTCATTAGAAACCCAAATCTAACCCAACTGATGTCATTGCTAAAAATAAAAGACAAGAATAACACATTTGGGGGAATTTCCATGGGGTGAATGTCTTGACAAATTACTCTTTCTTTCCTTCTCTCTTCCAATGCTAATTAATGAGGGTAAAGGACAGCAAAGGAGAACTATTCCTGGCAGAAGATATCCTAGAATTCGTGCCCTGGGAAGGAGGTTATGAGCTAGCCTGATGGTCCAAAGAAAAGGAGTCCAAATTAACCCAAACATCATTGATTTAGGGGAACCTGGGATTGGGCCAGAACTTCCATGATCAATTTGAATCCTTACTGGATCCTGGATACTCAGTCTTCTCTGATTTGCATCTTTTCTCCTAGGACTTGACTACATCTATTCCACTTTCTGGAGTGGAGAAAGCAAAAGTCAAGTTTACTCAGGATTTTTCTGCATGCCAATGGCTGACTTGGTATTGGACTACCTCAGTGGGGACTTGAACATATACACTTATCACATATTCTGAATTCTGGATTAAAATCTTTCTGGATCCTTTACCGGATGTGATTACAGCTATCTCCTACAAAAACACTGTACTGAACACTAGATGTGGTTAGACTATCAAAACTTTTATGTATGGTATTAGGACTTAAAGATTATTCTACAGAATCCTGACATAATACATCATTAGGGATAATCAGGCATGGAGATAGGTTGAGAGAACTAAGCAAGGAGGTTTAAGGAGAGAAGAGAAGGTAGAAAATGAGAAAACAAGATTCAGAGACAAACCACCTGCATTACATTGTCCTGAACCCAGTTCTGATAACTTCCCACAACCTCCAAAAGGCTAGTCACAGATCTTAGTCCAGACATGCTTCAGTAACAAAAAAAATGCCACAGACTAGATGGCTTATAAACAACAGAAATTCATTTCTCACAGTTCTGGAGGCTGGGAAGGCCAAGATCAAGGTGTCAACAAATTCGGTGCAAGCCCACTTCCTGGTTCATCGACGCCCGTGTTCTTGCTGTTTGCTCAAATGGCAGAAAGGGCAAGAGATTTCTCAAGGGTCTCTTTTATAAAGGCACTAATTCCACTCACGAGGGCTCCACCTTCATGACCTAATTACTTCTCAAAGACCCCACCACCTGATACTATCACATTGGGAATTAGGTTTCAACATACAGATTCTGGGGGGACACAAACATTCAGTCTATAGTGTCACACTTGTCAACCCCTCCCTGGGATCATACAAATACCTTATATGTCTATTCAAAGATTTCCAGGGACGAGGAAGCTATAGAACTCTAGATTGTGTAGATTTCCATTTCAGAGCTTTTTTCAGATTCCTTAAGAGCCAGAAAAACTTTAACATTTGTGCCCTTTATTTATGTCCTTTATTTCCTGACTATTCCCATCATCATAATGGAAACAATTCTCAGCCTTACTGGTTTTATTTTGAGTATGTAAAATATAACATGACACTAACACCAAAATGATTTTAAAAAATACTCAGGGAAGTATCACTCTTCCTTACCCTGTCCCCATTCCTCCACCCTTTCCACCCTGCTCCCACCCATTAATTCATTAATTCATCCAACCTTCAAAGATCCCCCACTGGTATTGTTTCTTGGTTCTCAGGACAACACATTCTATTTCCATTGGGAGTTACCACTGTCTTTCCTCCCAGATAGAAACCTTGAGACTTGCCCCCAAACCGCAGTCAGCATTGGCAGCAGACCCCTGAGTTAAAGGAAGAAATTCATCCGTAGACCCTTATTCATTCCTGGAGTGACGCTGCTAGGCCCTGCACTTGAAACCCAATGCTTCTTTGATAAACTATACCTGGCTCCCTTACAGCAAACTCAACCTGGGAACTATGGCCAGGTCTCAGAGGAAAATACTTCCAGATGATCTTCCAGAAAGATGTTGAAGAAAGAAAGAGATTGTGCTCCTCTGTGGCTTGGCTTTCCTGAGGCTCC